TGCAATCAACAATTAGAGCTCTTGGTAAAAGTCTCTCTTTTTTCTTTTAATCTTTGTTTACAGATTGTTAGGCTTTTGCTCTATGTTTACAGTGGGAACGAAGGTAAGAAGTTTGATTTAATTTACTGAAAATTTGTGCAGTGGAATCTTTTAGTTTTCTGTTCTTTTTTTCTTTTTCTTTATAAGCTCCTTTTGTTGTTTTCACTGGACATGGATTGTTTATTTACACCATGTTATGCGAAAACAGGCTCTGAATTTGCACGATTCATCTCGAGCTGGCGGTGTAATCGTTTTTACCATGCAAAATGTGCTGTTGTTATCGGCCGTACTGCTGATGCAGTCCTTCACTCCTCCAAAAGCGTAGGATAATCCTGACTGTAGAAAGCGGGACATCGATTTCTACAAACTCTTCACGGAGACGAGAAATGGTTTCTCAGATTTGAGCAAAAATCTCGGCTCCTTGTGGGAGAAATTTGAAATAATTAAGACTATTTTTGATGAGTGTCGTTATATTGCGCATCTTCTTCCCGAGCTAGCAAAGTTACAACTCGTAGCGTTGCGTGTTGTTCGTCACTTCTGAGTTCTCCTAAGTCCGATTCGTTGGCGCAAGTTAGCGCTTCCTCAAAGTCTACAAAGAATGTTAGTGTTTCTGCTATTGTTGATAACAAAAAGTTAGAAATAAGCCGGGGCGTCCTTCTGGTTTGAGCTATGCTGAAGTGACAAAAGTGCTCATTGGCGTCACCCAATCTACTCAGGCGACATCGCCTAAAACTAATAATGAGAATAGTAAATCGTCCTCTCCCCCTGGCTGTTCGAGTGTGAACGCTAGTCGGCAAACTGGGCACAAGCACAAGCTGCTCGTGAAAGTCTGGTTACCCCTTCTACATGCTCCCCAACTCAAAACTGTCTATCTTTCACATATTACGCTTAATTTCTCAGTAGGAAGTATTGATAGCTTACTGTCGTCGTTCTACAATATATTAAATCAAGTTACTTCTGCATCCGTTCCGATCAACCAGTGCCGACCTCGAAGAAGGTGTCCCCCAGGTGTTTAGCAGATGTTTAATAAGGCAATTAAATATTACAAGAACAGAAAAAACACGCTTTTCAAAAAATATTCGAAAAGTTTGCTCTGCTTTCGACTATTTCGCTTACTCGGCGGCATTGTATAGATTTAACTCCCTCAACCGCCATTATTATTGCAGATACCTGCAGTTCATTAAATCCTCTCTGTTTGGTAATCCCAAATACTTCTTTAAATTTGCTAACTCAAAAAGAAAAATGTCCACACATCCCTCGCGTGTTTCTTTTAATGGGTCTGATTCCTCGAATGATTTTGAAATCTCAGACCTCTTTGCTGATTACTTGCGACGAAGCTTTTCGACTGCTAATTCCGATTTATCAGCAAACACACATCCTATAACTAATCTAGTTTCATTTCCCAATTTGGGTATTTCTGAAAATGACGTTTTTAAAGGGTTGAGCTCTCTAAAATATAGTTATGCGCCTGGACTTGATGAAATTCCATCATGTGTACTTAAATTTAGCGCTGTCAAGTTATGTGGCGTTATCTCAAACATTTTTAACCAGTCTTTGAATTAAGGCGCTTTCCCTTTGTGTTGGGAGAGTAGTTTCCTTATTCGTATTCACAAAAGTGGAAACAGACAACTCGTTGAGAACTCCAGGGGTATAGCCAAGTTGAGTGTCTTGCCTAAGCTATTTGAGCGAATTGTGACTCAGCATTTGAGCTTTGCCATTAACTCGCAGGCTTTCGAAAAGAAAGATCTACGGTCACCAATCTTTTAGAGTTTACTTCTCATGCTTTCAAGGCTTTTTCTAGCGGCTCTCGCACTGATGTCATATACACTGATTTTAGCAAAGCGTTTGATGTAATTAATCATAAATTACTTATCTTTAAATCCAAGCCAAGTTGGAAGACGTCGTTTCGTTCACCGATTTAGGCTTTCTATTTGCCCATAGGTTACATTTTAACTTGCATATTGAGCTCTCATTAGGCGAAGCTAGGTCCGCCCTTGGTTTTATAAAGAGCTTGATGATCCCTACATTACGAAAAGACTGTACATGTATTTGGTTAGACCCATACTCGAGTAAGCCTCTGTTGTTTGGTCTCCTTCATCTAAGTGCTATGTAGATTCAATTGAAACTGTTCAAACGTAATTCTTGCTGTTTATCCTTAGGAATTCGGGTTGGGACCCGATTGCTTCTCTTTCCCCTATGAAAATAGGTTGCTTCTATTATCCTTACCATCACTTGAGAAAAAGAGTTCTGTTCTTGGCATTTCCTGCGTAATCAAAGTAATAAATGGTGCTATTACCTCGCCTGCATTACTTGGTGAAATAAGCTTTAACGTAGCTAACCGCTTCTCTAGACACTTTATCTTGGTTAAGCTTAGTCAGTGTAAATATAATTATGAGCTGTTTAATCCGCTCAGAGTAGTTTGCAAGAACCTAAATGACGTCTATCACTTATTCTCGTTATCGAACTCTTTAAAGTCCATTAAAGCAACATTGCTTAATACGCGCGATTTACCTATGTCTTACTTAAACTCTAATGTCAATATAATTGAGTAGCTTGACCCGTTCTGAGTTGTTTACAAGAACCTAAATGACGTCTGTCACTTACTCTCATTATCGGGCCATTTAAAGTCCATTAAAGCAGGATTGCTTTTTATCGCTATATACTGTGCCAATTTTTCTCAATAAATGCCTTTTTCAAATGAAAAATGATCAAAATACATGCAAGCACCTAACCATTGCTAGTTTAAGAGGGAGAGGGATGATATAGTAAGCTGTCGAACGGCTAATACGGCACATGCACTTTAACCGTTAAGTTATAACGATAAGAGTATTGTTTTTTTTTTTAGCCGAATGTATGTTTTTCCTTTGCTACACTTGGTCTTTCTTTTCCGGTTAAACTTTGATTTATACTTGACTAGACTTTCTGATCACTACCTGGGAATTCCATAGCAACTAATAAAATTGGCAATCCATCATGCTCAGACATCCAATAACTTCAGGCAAAATGAAATACCCTACAAGGAACGAGTCAAGAAGGGCTTGTATAGGTCTACCCTTGAAACCAGATTAACAACTCAGAAGTCGAAATATCGGCGATAGCACTTATGTATACAAAAACGATGTCGATACTAACTATGACAACGAAACAAGCGGAAACACAGACACTTGAGGACATACAATGTATGCAGATTTCTAGAAAAAAAATACGGTGCGAAAAATCCTTATCTTTCATGGTCAAGTGAAGCTTCTCTACAGGCAGTCTGGCAGAAATTTGCATACAATACAAAAATTATTTTGTGAAGTCGCCATATTTACGAAACTCCAAGGACAACATTTTTAAATCATGCCGATACCAATACGCAATTTATACAGCAGAATATTATAAAAATAAACATAAGTCGGCTGTTACGAACATAGATTTTAATAAAATTACGGATGTGACGAAAGATTAGTTTAACACAGACGACGTCTGCAATAAACACAGATGCCACTTACTGGACCTTACATTATTGTATAAAAATTTGAAATACTTGGCCTGACAGGATACTAATTTAGATTTTGCTAACCAGAATCATAAAACCAATACAAATTGCTGAAATTAGGATTAACGACCCCGAAGCACACTACAGTTTGTCACAAACGTAGAAAATATACATGTTTTCTATCTGCGCTTTTACAAAAAAAAACCAATCGAAAGTTGCTTCAGTCACTAACACGAGATGAACAAGACGTCAATTTCCAAAGTCGTTCTCTACTCGTTCTAGCTATGATTCTTTCTTGGCCTTACAAGAGACTCCGCAGCCAGGGTCTGCAGACCCTTTTACAGACCTTCCTTTTTCGTATGATTTTTTTTCCTTTGGTATATAATTTTGTTTTCTTCCTTTCTTTCTAATTTTTTTATATACATAGTATATATATTGTGAGCTGTTCGATTGTAGCCGGGTACTTACATGCTATCATCTCCAAAGTTTTCCGCAAAGCATTAATATTTTATTGGCAAAAATAACAAAAGGGCCACTCACTTTTTATACATATCGTGAATATAGAAAATTATTGATTTACTTCTTAATTTTCATAAATAGAAATTTGTTTTCATTTTAGGCTAGATTTATTAGCTATCATTTGACGTGTTATTGATTCATGCGAAGTAATTTCATATACAATTCAAAGATTTTTCTTCAGCGATTTTATCTTTAGTAATCATGATAATTCAATTAATAAAATATCTCCAGTAATTGATATAGAAATAATGAACTTAAAATAATGCCGAATGCCTATTATATTATATCGAAGTATGATTAAGGGAAAATTAAACTGTAGACCGCGAATGTCTTAATGATAACGATGTTTTCACATGTTCGCTGGTTGTACCCAAGTGAGGCTACAACTCTGGTTGTCTGCTTGCCTAGAAACAGGACAAAGCCGGACATCTCCCTTTGACTTTTCAAGTGGCATGCTCCAAGTAATTTGTTGCTTATAAATAATTATATCTAATGTACTATATCTACTGTATCTTAGCTTGACTTGAATTTGACTTACAGTCCGTGCCAAATAACATATTTCCATAAACGAAAATTGTTGACTTGTTAGGACGTTCGCCTAGACATGAAGGTAATGGGCTTTGATACCACTTTGCTTATATAAGTACGCTATAGACGCTATTGGTCGCTGTCATAGTTTGAGATGTGTTTATTGATGAAGTTCTTATCATTGGTTTCGTAGGCATAGCAATATATTTTGTTATTTGACTACGGCTGTCGCTATCTCAATAAAATATCTGTTTGAAACATAAAAGCAATGCTGCTCTTCTAACCAGAAGTTATATCAAGCGCACCAAATATTGTTGCCTCATTGCTTTTGTCGTTTTTCATAAAATTTGGAATCATTAATCTAGAATATTTTATAAACTTAGATTTATTTTTATATTATTTTGGTACTATAATTCTTAAGTTTAAATAATGCATTTTTTTTTTAATTATAAGAATATAAATGTATATATATATACGCATTATATAAAAAAACAACAAAAAATTTTGCGCCGATACTACTATACTCCATGACAACAAATAATTGCAAGAAATTCCCAAAACATACAATCTTTATAAAAAAAACTATTCTGCGCACAATCATTTAAAAATCATATAACTCTGTCAGACGACTGAACAGTTTTGAAATTCGAATGAATTATTTGTTATATTAAAATTATGCATTAATAATTTACAGTTAATTTGATCCATTATGCAAATGCTTTTTTATTTTTCGTTACAAATTGCATTTTTTTTTTTTGCACTTCAACTTATGAACACTTATTATGTATCGTTTGGCTAACTAGCTCCCTTTTGAAAGGCGATCCTCGATAACCATTTCATAGAGAGTTATGTATGGCCTTCGTCATCTGAAATTAATTTCGAAAAAATAATGAGAAAATAATGGCCAAATTTGACGTTTATTGTTTTACAATGATACAATCAGTAAAAAAGTCATACAAACGTAAAATTATGTAAAACTTTTGACAACATAAACTGAGGTGAAATAATTTCACATAACTCATATAATTCCACATTTTTATTTCTTAAGAGAACTTTGAATTGTGAAACTGAACTTTGAATTTAAGATGTATCATTTTATTTTAATTTTATGTAATATATTTATAGATTAACATATGAATTACTTATAAAGAATGTAGAATATTTTAAAGTGAATTGCGAAGCAAACCTAGGTGTGTATTATATAAATAAATGCCAACTTTTTAATTTTTATTAAACATGGATTTGTGTTGTTAAATTTGAAAGTACAAAAGATGTACCAGTTCTTATTTCCTTGCTTATTCGCCTCAATCATTAGACCTCTAGCAAAACGTCGATACTGTCGTCAAAATTACTCCATTCAGCCTTTGCTTACCTTTTTGGTTATGAAACGTTCTTCATCTCGTGCGGGCTTCCGAAAATCTGGATTCCGTGTACGCATCCAATCACTTCAATGTATATTGCGAATATTTCAATCATCGTTTGCTATGAAATAAAGCGTCGCAAGGACATGAAAGCTAGCGAAATGTCGATGTTATCGTCATAATAAGATGCCTTGATCCAGAAAGTCGACAGTTTACTTCCATAAGTTTCACATAGTCGTAAACCCTACGAATAAAATATTCGTATGCATATGGGAAAAACATGTGTATATAAATTAACGCATCATCTCATTGCGGCTACGCTCGCCCTTTCGGTTTTGATTCTGCGCGGGTCTATGAAAATAAATATGTATTTCAACCACACATCATATCACAAGAACAAGTAAAGCACAACAAAAAGTTACTTACCATCAGGAACACCAAATTCCCTATAGAATAACTACTTTGTGTTGGCGCTAATACCACACCGAAAACATTTGCACCAAGTTTTTACTCCATTTCTTGGGTAATTTCCGCTACATCTACAGAAGCGGTGCTCTGTGCAACGCTTAAGTAAAAATCATTACTCGCCAGCCATTAACAGCACCCAGATCCCAGCAACTTAAAAGTAAGGGCTAAATAGATCATTGCAGGCATATAGATTATTCTTGTGCCATCACTCACAACAAATTTACCTAAAATTTATTCTAAAACCTCTTTTGGAAAACTCTTCTAGATATCTACTTATAACAATATGTATATTTTAATGCTGATAAACGTATAAAATCATTTACCAAGACATTTGCGAGCAACGTAAATCACCAATAACGATGCTCCTTCACTGCCATATAACACAATGTAAGGAAAGTAACCATTCCTCTCGATGTATATATATTTCTCAACATTACTTGTTTATTTAATAACAACATTTTATTTATCTTTTTTTTTGTTTTGTTGGATAAGGTGGATTAGATCAGTTAGCGATAAGACTAATACATCAGTAGACTGATGAGTTTTTATTTGTTGCTCCGTTACGCTTTATCAATGAAAGCGAGAGTGTGTAATGATCTATGGAAAGGTTAACGATACTTATTTGATTACAAGCTTTGGCAAATATTAATTGGACAATAAAAATAAAAAGGAAAAAAAGAACCAATTTACATACTTTTCACACATATAAAATGTTTGTTTTGTTTCAGTTCTTTGTACATAAACAATTTTGTTCGCAATTTATTTCATTTTCCATGTACAACTGTTTTCTCATTAACTCAAAACATCTTATAGCAACGCAAAGCGTCAGCAATTTTGCTTACGCCACTTTTGACAGTTCTGAGGGCGTTTCTCTCACTTCTTATGCATACTATAGCTAGCAAAATCGAAGCTCGAAAATAAAACCTAATTAATAAAACATAATTAGTGCCATAATGGTGACGCCAACGGTGACAGCCAAACACCTGCATAAATTTTATAATAGTTGAACAGTAACAACCCCTGAACATGGCTGTAAATACCTTTTGAATATCATATATATCGATATTATGACAGCTAAAAATGTACGTATGTATGCAAATACCAATACCATTCACATACGTAAGAATTCCAAATGAGAAAAGGACAACGTGAAGAAAATTTCATATTCCTCTTTGCTCCTGAAACTATAATTTGTCTTTTGGTACCATTTCACCTTCAGATGAATGACTCATCAGCGTCTTACAAGCGTAGAAGTTGTCTCTCCTCAAATTGACGGAACTTATCAACCCCGTTTAAGACTACGCTTTTTCCACACATTATTTCATATGACAGGCTTTGTATGTAATTAAACTATGCTCATATTTTTATTTATCAACCTGACTTATCTACTTCACAGTAGCACTCTCTTAGTACTCTTAGTACTGAAACCTATCCTTTCTGTTCCCTTCTTTATTTGTATTGAAAACGCACTCATGCTTAGACCACTGATAGAAGTTTAATGCCTGTTAAACGCCAAGATCAAACTGCCCTATTCATCTGCCTGTCTTTTCATTAGTTTCAGTGAACATTCCTTTGATTGATAGTAAGAGCAAAGTAAAAGTTCTCGCTATAGTAGCAAAATGTGTAAAACAAATGGAAAACCAAGACTGAAGACAAATTATGTTTGATCGCAGTGCTTTGTTACGCGCACACGTAAAAAGACTTACCATAACCTACAAAATAACAACTTTTCGGTAAATAAGTTTTATTTAAATCATGTAAAGCAGTAGAGGGGCTGCATGGCAATAGCAAAAGAAAACAAGATAACAAATAGTGGTATGAGAGTGGAATACTAGTTTATGGCTTGAAAACTAAGGAATGCTCTCGGTTGTTTTAAAAACAAGAGTAGCTAACATAAAAACGGGAAAGTGTTAGCAATTATGGTTGTAAATGCATTTTCTTTACTACGAGACTAATGCATCACTCAATATCTTTTCGGTCTGATACATGTATGGCAACCCTGTTGACAAGTTCATATTTCTGAACAGTGCCAACCTTCAATTGTTATTTATCAAATTTTTATCACATTTCCACCATTCGAGCTGTAAACTGATGGATGCACGTGTCATTGATAAATTAGTTAGTTCGGAAATAATGGGAGGATTTCAACTTTTTTCCGGAAACATTCCACAGACGATTACGCTAGTGTAATACATCTGCTACGTCTGAGGACAAACGAACAGACGGGCGAGTCTTATGCCCAAGGCCACTTTATGCCCTGCTTAGCCTATTGTCCCCCTCCTACAAAAATGCATAACTTACAAGATGCAGCTTAGTGACGGTATTTTTGTTATTTCCAAAACAATGGAAAACTCTGAATTTCGTTTGTTGATTAAATGTTGATTTCGGATGAGAGAGATATCGTTAACTTCTCGGCTTGTTTGTCGAAAAATAAATTTGTGAGCAGTTTGCTATTTTTAGACAATGTTGCATCACTACCAAAGATAATGAGATAATGGTCCCCTAAAATTGACAGTTTTAGGAAAAACTCTACATAATAGTTTTGGAAGACCGATCGGAGATACATTTTCGCGATATAGCTGATATTTGAAAAATATCAGAAAGTAGTGTATCTGCTATTTTGCATGGCCATTGGTGCATGAGAAAACTTTTTTGAAAAGGGTGTCGCATTTACTCACATCACAACTATATATGACAAAGAATAAAACACGGAATCATCGCTAGACTCCAGAGTCATATCGGCGATCAGCTGACTGGGCAGCAACCGGCGTCTTGAAAAAGGACAACGTGCCAATAACGAATATAACATTGTTGAATCGATTAAATCTAGAAACCAAGAAAAATGGGTCAGATCGAGGACTTTTTGAGGGATATATAGACGGGACATACATAAAGACACTAGTACTTCTGAAATTATGATTACTAAAAGAAAAGTAGAAAGTTCGTTAAATTAACGGGACCAAACGAAGGCGTAATGCACAGAGATAGTCAAAATTAACGAGTTATAAACCTACCATAAAAATCACTTGTTTCAATGTAAACCATAATACACACTCACTTAAAAACTAAAAATTATATAGGATTTTGTTTTGCAGAGATTTGGTACGTTATGACGTCACGTACGAAAACCTTAAACAAAATTTTTGCCCATATATAAAAAAAAAATAAAAAAATAAGCAGTCGCATGGCTGATAATTAATAGGACTGCTATTTTTATTGATAACAGAAATGTTAAAAGGCGCCTAGATATTAACCACTTGCTATTCTATTTTTACTCTGATAGAAACGCAAGCTTCTTCCTAAGTCTATTTATTCGCGTAGTGTGAATGATAGCAGCGATAGGTGACGACACTCGCACGTAAAGCAAGTAAAAGGAGTACGAACTTTCGCTTATACGTACTCATTATTTCTGCCAAGGCTTCAGTGGACACAGATAGAAATGGTTGCTCATTTCATAACCTGGATCTATTTTTTAACTTTGGTCATGACAAACAAATGAATAATAATAATATTACACACGGGAAAGGCTTTTCCCATTTGAAACTCTACCTGAACTTTACTCCTTAGAAGAATTTTGTTGGTGGACTATTATAATACCACCCTATATCATTAATTACCTTCGATTAACATTATAAGATAGTTAACGGATCGGATAACTTACATTAATCATTCAAGATATAACAAGTAAGGAAATTATCCTCATAACATAGGCATTCTCAGTTTACGTGGTACTGTGGCCGTGCCCTTAAGCCTCTTATGAGTTCTCAGTTCAACTTCTCCTCAATAACCACTTATTGCATCAATTTCGTTTCCAATCTTTTGATCGTTTATATTGACGAATTTTAATTTCTTTGGAGGTATATTCCGTAACTGCACATTCGAAACTCTATTTTTCTAAACTTACATAGAACAGTTTCTTCTTTTTTTTTATTTTTTTTTTTGTTTTCTGTGACAGAAAAAAACCTTTCATTTCTTTTTTGAAAAATTCAATGAAAATTTCTTTTCTTTTTTAGCTTTTTTCATAACTTTTTTAAGGATGCTGGGCTTTCCTTATTTATTTATTTATTTTTTTTATCAATGTGCTTAAGAAGACATGTAAGATCTCCACACTGAATGATGATGCAAGTTACTTAATCATTTCATTGTTTAACTGCTACCTATAGTACATTCGTCATAGCAAAATAAAATAAATATACTGTAGAAATGACAATGTATCAAAAAGAAAAGTTAGGGATTAAGCGCTGAGTTTACAGAAAATGAAAATTTTTATTCTTTATTGACAAACTTACATTATTTCATTTACGACTACATACTTTTCCATATAGAGATAAATTTATGACATTATAAAAATAAAACAACAACAATGTGAAGTCAAATGAATGAAATTCCGATACTCTGTGAGATTGGATGGGCGTGACCGACTTTCCAATTTTATCTTTGGCGAGTATACTCGTCATAAACATTGAAAGGGTTAAAAAATACATATTGAAATTTTGCTGAAAATGGAAAGGAAACTTAATGCTCTGTCTTATTATGTGTATAAAATCTACACTTTAAAGAAATCTTTAAGAATCTATATGTATATATATCACAAAGATTTCTATTAACTGGGCCCAAACTCATTTATTAGTAGCTTCACATACTTTATTCGTTTGAAAAGAGGAACAAGAACTGTTGATTGCGTCAGGTTATATGTTGTGAGTTATTTTGCCTATAAAGGATGTTCCGGTGAACGGAAAAGGTTGTGTGTCTAGTGTTGTTAATGTTAACAAAATTTGTAATTTTATATTATTATTAAAATCTCTTCAATATAGTATACATCTGTTAACACTTGCAGTTGGTCTTATAACCACATTTAAAATTACATCATGAAATTAGTTCTTTTCCAGATGTGCTTAAACTACACGAAACAACGTAAAATGAAGCAGATCGTAACTGAGAACTTCCCCCGCTTTGTATGTCTCATAACACACTTGCTTAAATTTAATAAAAGAAGGCATAGCTTCTCTGTCTCTCGCACATTGTTCTAATCGGAACTAGCCACAGAGTCGTGAATAAAAAAGTTCCATTTCGTTTTCTAATACAGTAAATTTTAGACTTTTTGCTGTCGAAAAAAAAGTAAGAAAATTAAGTAAAAGTGTGTTTTCTAAAATATAACAAACTAATTCAATATATATAAGTTCTAATACGTTACATTACGGTTGTGAATTTTATAATATATTTTCTCTTATATATTAATTTATGCATGTGCGTCATATATTAAAATACATACGTGTATGTATAAAAGTCAGCTAGTTGCAGGATGTGCAAAACTGCTCTAATCAAAGGATAATGGACGATGTTTAGATAACATTGTACTTCATTTTTAGGGTATGAGCTCACTTCCGATTTACACTTTTGAATGTTATACCTGCTGTTTTGAAGTTACTTAGAAATGGCGTATACGATTTTGTAATTTTAACACGTCAAATGAAAAAGTTTTATTGGAAGGGGGGGTGGGGGGGTGCTAAGAAGGTTTCTTAATACTTAATAAGGAGGGTGTTAAGAAGGCTTCTTAATACTTAATAAGGAGGGTGTTAAGAAAGTTTCTCAATACTTAATAAGTTGATTAGCTTCAGACACTCAGGGTTTTCGTAGATAGATTTCTCCAATATTTTGTTCTCAGGTAGTCAAACTTTTTCTTTTGGACGTGTTACGACTAATGTTTGTTGCAGTAAATAGTAGACGCTGCCGTGTTTTCAGTTAAGTGGACAAAATCGCCTAATACCCATTATTTTGAGCTGTGTTTTGCTCATTTAGTCTTTGTTAATTTTTTTATATTTATTATATTCTTTGATGTTCAATTTTTTATTTTGGCAAAATTATGGTCATTGTGATAAATTTCGGTATTTTCAGGGTTAATGCATATTTTTGTTAAATGATGTATTTCCCAAATTTAGGTAGAACCATGTTTAGAAATAGCTAATATACTTAATCGATTTTTAAAACCATTGCTATTCAGAAAAATTTTTTGCTTCTGTTATCGACATGTTTAATTTAAATATGATATACATATATTGTCAGAAATATTCTACAAAAGAATAAAAAGTTTCATGTTACTTATTTTTTACGTACATCGTATTAAGAGTGTTATAGAATTTGTTTATATTTTTATTTGATCACATAGTGTGAAATTATCACATTTTTGATGCTACTTCTCTTATTATAATCGCTGCCGTATGACGTGTTTGCCAGTTTCAAAGAGAGAGACTGTCTTTGCAACAAATCAGGGAAGCCAATTGCAAATTGTGATCATTTTCGAATTATAACTCTATATAATATAAGCTATAAAATGCGCTGTCCAATTTCATGTTACTAAATATATTTTTCAATTCATCATATTCATATACCAGCATTATCCAATCGTTCAATCAATGGAGTTCATTACTTTGCGTTCCATGACTTAACATAGAAGATATTTAATTTTTCGTTTTTTCGCGGAATGTAAATGCACTAAAATTCGTGGATGAATGAAATAATGGATGAATCCATTCAGGCTGTTATATTGGACTATCGTTTGTTTAACTTCTTATTCTGACGGAAAAAGACATACGTGCCTTTGTACAGGTAGTTTCCAAATAATGGTTGAAAAAATATTCCATGTTAACCGTATGAAAACTTAAAAACTACGAAATATTCTTTACTTTAATTGTAACAACAAGAATGTATGTTATGTGTATTATGTACAAATAGTCTGTCAGACTATTGGCGCGTTCATACATAAAAGATGCATTCTTTTCCATTTATTTACGTTGGGAATGCTCTGAAACGTACTATGCACGCTTGCAATAAGAGAATTCGAACGCCGTGCGAAGTTGAAAGTAAAACAATCTTAAGCAATATGCGTTGAATTCTTATTAAATGAAGCAATTTTGTTTTTATTTACTCATTTTTTATACTTCATCACACATATATTTCTTCCATTTCCATTCCCTCACGTCTTTTAATCTGTCTGTCATCATTTTTATATCTCTAAGTCGTACAATGAAAAAAAAACAAAAAAGGAATACGTGTTTGAAGGGAAGAATATAAGTCTGGAATCTCATCGAATGAACTATCTGCCAATCCTCTGCAAAAATGTATAAAATTCATTGTATTATATATATTAGCTTGCTTAGTCTACGTAAAATCCAAATGCAAAAAAAAAAGAAAATGTAATTTCGTTATGAATTTCTTCCTTTTGGGAATTTTGCTAATATAAAATAATGTAGTCAAAAAAAATAAAAGAGTTCTATAACCTTGTGCTTAGAAGGAAAATGATATTGCAAGAAGCAAGCTATATTAGCTTCCTACGTATTATTATTATGAGCCGAATATTCAAATTTGTTTTTTCCTTAATTCGTCGGGGTATAACGAACTCGCTTGACTAAAGAAAAAGTACGACTATAATACTTTGTTTTGTTCTTCGTTTAGTAGTTTACTTCTTTACCCTAAACAAGATATTCAAAAAAAATTTGTTTTGTATAACAATTGTGTATTAAGTAAATTGCTTGCACAACTAAAGGCTAAAACTCGGGTTTCTAATACGCTTGCGGGTGGTTTATCTTTTATATTCATTGTATTCTTCATTTTATAGCATGATGATGTAAATTGTAGTTGGTGATGGTACCGTAGCAACAACTTAACGAATTCGTAAGCTGCTTTACCTGTTGAAAAGGATGCTTTTTATAAGAACAAGTATGACGTGTTTGATACAGAAAGGCAAAACCAAAAAATGTAAATCAAAGTCATCTCAAAAGCTCAGCGCAGAAATTGTGGGCAATTAATCTTACATGGATAATTAACGATAGTAATATTCTGTGGATATTTTTTTATTTGAGGGTTGGTATCAAGAGTTTACTTTAGCCGAAAATAATTTTCTCACCTTTTACTTTTTTTTTTAAATGACAGTAAAGCCACGGATATCACAAAATTGCATAATTTTCATTGTAAATACATATGATAAATAAGTAATGAAACAATTTTGCGCTCTTCTTCACTTTTTGTTACTCTTTCTTCAATATTGTTCTTTATTCACAAATTAAATAACCAAAATCGTACAAAATCATTGATTATTTAACGCAAACAATCAAGCTAATAATTAGCAGATCTGAGTAAGAAATAAAAATGGTTGGTCCAGAGCTAAAGAAATAATATGAATTTTGTTTAGTTAGAGATATGTATGCATAGTTCGTGCGAGGTCAGTTGAGCTTTTTTGCTTTAATATAGTTTAATGAAAAAATGTAGTGATGTTATTAAAAAAATTATATTCGTCTCAGCAAATAATTGATATTCTCTTCCCCAAACCAACCTATAAAAATTACCGAGTATTTTGGTAAAATTGCAAAACGGAAAAATGTAAAACAAAAGGTGGTGTAACGCAGTCTCAATAATTAAAATGTTTATCGAGGTAGAAAGCAAATTCTAAGCAAGTTCTAAGTGAGTTCTTTCTTTGTTATCGTATAAAGTAACCTGAAAGGCCCACCATTAACGTGGTTGTATTCATTTTCCCGATTTTCTAAAACGGATTATTTTGAATGTAATACTAAAAATTTCTGCTTGTTTCATGAAATACTTCAATAATTTAAAATGCGAACCGCCGGTGCCAAGCAGTATTGTAAAGTGCTTTTGCCTTTATTCAGGATGAGGCAGGAGACTTTTAGCTGCCGGTTATCGTTCAAAGCCTTTAGCATAATATATAAAACGAATCTGAGGGCAAGCAAACAGTCAATACTTAGTATAATATAATAATAACTTTTACGCATTACAAAAACTATGTTTCAAAACTATATTACCTTCGAGCTAGTCTTGTACGCACTGTACTTAAGCAAATATATTGTAATTATAATTTCTTTGTTTATTGTACGGCGTGTTGGTATCCTTTTTAGTTTAACATTAGACAATAGTTAGTTTTTATTTTACAGTTAATTCAAACTTCTCACAGAGCTCGGTTGGATTTTAGCGAAGAAACGTAAAAATGACAGATTCTATGAAATTCGGACCTGAATGGTTGCGCAATATGTCAGCTGACATAACGTCTATTTCCAGTAACGTCGGACAAAATACTACATCAGCAACTATGAGTAGTTGTGTCACGACCGCAACGTCATCAACCAATAGTAGCACTTCTTTGAACAGTGGTTCTTCCTTGTCAAATATAAACAATAACACCAATCAAAGTCAAATAAATTTATTAACAAACACTCCGATTCCACGCAATTTATTCCCTGAGTTTCGTTATGGACGAGAGGAAATGCTTTCGCTTTTTGAAAAAACGTGCAGTATGCCAGAAATATTGCCTTCGTATAAGAATTTATATGTCGAGAAGGTTCAATACCCACTCGCTTTGACACCCAGTAGCGAAGAAGAAATGGTTACACAAGGTCCTTCATTGCCATCGGTACGTACTGCAAATATTTATAAAAATAAGGCCAACAAATGTAGTTAATAATTTTTATAAAAGAGTTTCTTCTTCTTAATTTTTTTCTTATCACCTCTTATTGGTCCATAATTTATAGCAAAGGCCAGCTTGGCTCCAACGTTCCCCTGTAAGTTTTAGCACATCAACAAGAAGCGCAGCAAGGGGTTGCATAGCGGAACGAGGACGCATTCGAGGTAAATCGGTTTATCATCCAATTTTCCAGCGACCCGCGGTTATGTTTGACGATGATTTGCGAACAGCTGCATTGAAGGTATTATTTTTACTAATATTTTTATTGGTGCTACTATTATTGAATTTTTACACTTCTAAGCTAAAGCTAAGAATTCCTTCACTGTCGTGTGCTCAGCTGTCGTTGCAATTATTATTGTTATTTTAATTATTTAATAATTCTTTTATGTAGTGATAATTGAACACACAGTTTTTGCAGCAATCTGATAGTCATTTTAGCTGCAAAATACAGCGTCGCTTTTCACATCCTTTTCAAAACGTCGTACAGTTCCAAATATTTTAGGCTTTCTTCTAAAGTTTTCGATATTACCTCCATACGTGACATTGCGATAAAGGTTACAGCCACCTTTTCATCGTTGTATATGTCCTCCATCTCTTGTACCAAATGTATGAATATTGAAATTTCGCATATGCTGTTATTCATTATAACGATAGCCTTATTTTGCCAATTCTGACTTGTTGACATATATTGCTCGGGTGGCTATTACTTGTCTGTCCAAAAATTTATGAAAATCTTGCACGTTGATGTTTGCAAAATGAAACTCACCATTGCTAGCTGCGTAGCTCCGCCAGTTTGTGATACACTATTTTGTACCTTTGATTGTGTCTGATTAGATAATCTGAATTATCCGAGGTCTTACATTCACCGAGTGTCGTTCAGAAATAACTTTGTCTTAGATTACTGTTATAAGTTTCTGCGCAAGTTTATTAAATGTCAAATAAAATAAATATTGTAAAATTATAAAAATTGACGATAGGTAACAAAGTATGTTGTTACTGTATCAGCAAGAGTAGGTATCTCTTGCAGTACAATATGTGGAAATAATTATATAAGACTATATTGCTAAGTTAATCTTCCATGAGATCGAGAAAATATAGGTTATTAATCCAGCTCCACCATTTGTTACTATAATAATGGTTATCAACGGCACTAAAACAACCAGTCACTTTTGGTATCAAAATAATAAAATTATAAAATAACAGTAATAAAAACTAACACTCAAACGTAAAAATAAAAACGTTCAGGCTGCAATCAAATCAGCAGTTCCCTGATGGGATTCATACAATTTGATCTTGGCTCGTGACGAAAAAGTATAGCCACAAGTGTTACTATAGCGGCGATCGTGATTGTCTGCTGTCGGTCTAGGTCAACTTTAAATTCAACAATTGTAACAACATTGACAACCTCTACTCGCACCAGCCAGTAAAACTTGGCAGGAACCTCGTATCGAACTTGGTAAATGTTATTACTACAAATTTGGAATGGATTTTGGATGAATTTAACTTCAAATTATTCTTGCCAGCCTAATGGGTAACGCGATCTAGATTTTCCTTGATCCGTTAACCCAAGGCATCTACAAGTCTACGAGGACATGAGACGTAAACCTGCTCATCAATACAAAAAATAATATTGCAGTTTAGACAACAAGTAAGGAAATAAATTATGAATTTGGTAAACAAAACCAGTTCTAAAATAGAGCATTACGGAACGCTAGAGCAAAGTCTACTTACATCCAGCCAGAAATAGTCCACATTGATATGCGGAAAACGATTACACATTTGAGCCTTTCAAAGCCTCATCCACGAGGAGCTGTCACCAAAATAAGACTTCACTTTTCCAATAATAAGGTATGGGTTACCGTATCAAAGGCCGTGAAGAAATCACTCATTACTAAGATTGTTGCGACTGGTTAGGACTAAGCAAAGTTTTGCATTATACAATGATTCATTATGCAGGAAATATTACCGGTAACATTGTTGGATTCTACTACTACTATTCTACTTTTTTTTTTAAACTTTTCTATACTAATTTGGAGCATGGCTGGGTTTTCAATTGGTTAACAAAATATGGTCTCTTCACATAACATGTACTTTGTCCTTACATTTACGGGAAACTCTCCAACTTACTGCATTCGTGTTGCATTTTCAGGCTTTTTAAGCCATGGCGCAATCTCTAACATAACAAAAGTACATATATAACATAAGAACAAAAATAGTAAATCACGGTGGCTTACAGTTTTCGACAAAACGCGTTTTATTTGTAGAGGAAAGTTTATTGTGAATGCCAGCAAAATACTGTGCAGTACTCCAGCACATTATTGAAGAAGCCTGGACAAGCACTCGTAAGTTAGCAGACCTTAAATCTAGAATTTTAAGCTAAAAGATGTCGACATGTCACTAATCAATTCCATATTATGTTTTGAGAGCGACATCTCGTGTGGGGCATAGGGAACGGAGGGGAAGAGAGCAATGAGATACATCGGCCAAAATTAACGTAGAGGTTGACATTACATTACATCAAGCAAACGTTTGGTACATATAAATCATTCGAAAGTATGTGAACATCAGGATTATGTTTTCATATTAAGTGGATAATCTGTTCAATACTGCACCACACTGTCACTAGATAAGATTTTAAAAATATTTTGCTCTTTAAATGTTATTTAATATACATTGCAATTGTCCCACCTCCCAAGTTACGGATTCTGCCATGTATTGTTGTGAATATCCGATTTAAATTAAAAAACTTGATTGATGCAGGTTTTCGTAATAGAAACGACTTCAGGTAACGGTCAATAGGTAGCCCACTTTATCAATTTCTAGATTGTTTAAGTTTCTGTAATTCAGATGACAGCTTGAAGTTGTTGAGAGCTTCAGTGATGATTCTTAAGACTCGAGTGTTAACATTGTTTACGTAACTGTTGCTGTCAGTTATCTACTATGCAATAGTTTCGTAAACTAAATCCAATTTATTTAAGTTCACAGAACAAGTTTTATTCCACATCGAACGTTTAGTATCAACACTCGTTGTGAATTTTCCATTTATTCTTATGCATTTGGCTGCAAATTTTTGATTGCACTCAACCGGTTCATAACTGCCATCCCACTTTTAACAAGCATGGTCTTTCTTGCAGTATTTGGTGACATGGTTGAATTCTCTACACTTGTAGTGCATAACGGCATCTATCTAATTATAACCCTACATCTCTTCCAGCATACATCTCTTCTTTAGTATTTCTACGAAAGATTTAGTCTCTGTCCCAACGATACCGCTATAATACATTCTCTCATGCTTTCGACTTGGTTATTTATTAAATTATCCTCCAAAATAGTATTGTAATTCCACAACTTACTTGATAATCTCATCGCACTCACACTTGACGGTGATGGTAGCTATTTCCGTCCTGGGATAAATATTTTTAGGCGTTTGCATTTCATTGCCCTTTACGATAGACTTAACGATCGTCGCTTGGACTTCCATACGTTCTGTTTCGTCGTAATCTATCACCACTATTCCGTTGATATTTTCACGGTTTTAGAAGCTTTGTCCTTGGTAAATTCAAATTCAGCTTTATCACTCCTTTGAGTAGCTTACGGATTAAAACAGCAGCCCGTCTGATTTTTTACACCAATCGTTTAGAAGGTGCCTCTTACTCCTGTAACATGAGATAAGGTCGTCGTAATTGCAGTCTAATCGGTGTGAGCCCAAACAGTAAGTATTATGCCTTTACCGACTGATAACTCACTACATCTTTAACCAAAGTAAAGTCTACTGTTTTTGAGATTTGAACCTGGGAACGCTGATTTGGTGGCCGTCATTTTTACTTGGCTAAATAAGCCTCAAACAACTTTTTTAATTTTATTCACTCTATTTTATGTGAGTTGTATTTATTCATTGGTTGTATCTTAATAAGCTGAATGTTTTTATTAGCTCCGTTTTATATCATCTGACATTCTGAAATATTGTTATCATTATTACGAATTTTACATTCTCAGCTTTTGCTGGAATTCACGTACCGGATCATTGAATAAAGGTTACGCTCGGTTAGAAAATAGTTCAGGTTTTGTATCCGTTATCCTAGTGTCTCCATCATGATTTTCGCTGCTTTGATAACGGCTGCCTTTCGTATGTCAGTTATAATTTTCCTGTTAAGGTTTACTTTATGTATTAAATTCCTAATTTCTTTAGGTATTGTACCAATGGAACTGATTACTATAGGGGATTATATTTAATATTTCTAGATTTTGAGTGTTCCTGAGTTGTTCGGCGAGTTATTGACACTTTTTTCTGTTCGTACTTATGGTTTCTTGAATACTGTTCTCATATGGGACTGTGCAATTTGTTATTTTGACGGTTTTGTCCTGTTTGTTTCTAAGTATCATCTGGTTTATTTGGAACATATTTGTTGGGGGTTATTGATTAATGTTGAATTATATCAGTACACAGTATAGCGTTGGTTCTCAATAATACGGTTCGGATAGTATTTCTAATAAGTTCTTTTTTCGTTGATTTGCAGTTCTGTTAATATGCTTAGACGTATTAGCTTTCCTACTTTGCTTGTAGTGGTTGGGCGTTTATAATGAACAACTGTTATGCGGATGTGGAATCGTTTCTGCAGCGCTTGCGCATCTAGGATAACAGCATCTGTTATTGTATTATCGTGGATAATATACCTTGTGTAGTTTTTTGTATATACTATTTTCCATTTTTGCATTTTTCCTTCTTTTGATTGGCATGATAAACGTAAATTTATTTATTTATTTACACACGAAATTCAACAAACATAAACTTACTGTCCAATTAGATTGACTCGTAAAGTTAAATCTTATCTATTTATTTAATGTTATCTACTTATAAATAATCTTCTAAAACATTAAAAAGAAATTAAAAAAATAAAGAAATATAAAAACAACATAATTCATGTATAAACAAACAAGACAAAAAGAAAAAACGGCATGTTCACATCTATGATAGAGGCAACCAATTGATATTTAGTTCTATCTAGGAATCATACGAAGCTTTAACAGTTAGTTTATATACGATACAGGTAGGTTCGCTTATTATAGAGACTAATTTTGATAGAGTTTAAACAGTCGGACATTGAGATTAATTATAGATTCTTGCAAAGACGTCTAAATGGGCTGAAAAACTCATGTTTGTATCTGAGGATAAGGCTTCTAGAAGAGCGATTGGGAACATTGAAGTTTTGCTCCTTTAATAGTGCCGGTCAACAGTACCAT